AGAAAGAAAGAAAGAAAGAAAGAAAGAAAGAAAGAAAGAAAGAAAGAAAGAAAGAAAGAAAGAAAAGAAAGAAAGAAAGAGAGAGAAAGGGAGAAAGAAAAACAAAACCAGTTAGGCTAGTCTCCTAAAAAATTAATAAGCATTAAAAACTTTGAATTTCAAATAGGATCAAACCATTAAAGTTGTTGAATATTATATTACAAAGGCAATGTCAAGATAAGTTTAATCAATAGACTTCCTGCAAAGATGAAAAAACTGGTATTCTATTCTTCGTTATAACTAAAATCTTTAGCCATTTTAACCTCAGTTTTTTAAAACTATTCAGTAAAAAAAAACAAAAAAATCCCAATTATCAAGTCAGTAACATGAATATATTGCTTAAAGTTTTATGTACTCAAGAGTTTTATAAATCATCACTAGAGAAAATAAATTCCAATCCATAATTCTAAATCAACTTTACGTCACTGTAAAATCTCTCACTGCCAAGATTCATTTCTGTTCTTACCTTTTAATCCCTCTGACAAGCAGAGAAGCCCAGGGCTGATGCAGAGAAAGGCACCAGCCACCATCAAAGCCTTCTTGAAATTCTTCATCCTGGATTCGCAACTGGTGCCGATATGAGTTGAACTCTAGTTCTGATCCTGCTGACTGGGAAGCCTTCTTCTGTGAGGCTACACCTGTCTGGTCTATCCACTACACAGGAAAAAAACCAACGCACAGTTCTGAAAAGGGAAGAACCTGGAGTATGTATGAAAAATGAGATGAATGCTAATAATGAAGAAATCATAGTGGGAACATGTTCTTAGGAAATGTTATCCTATCTTTGCCTCAAACAGGGCCAAAAAAGCTGGAAAAGGTATAAATTCAGTAGTATCCCCAAGTATGATAACAAGGTCCCATCTTAAAGGATAGTTAGAATGTTGAAATCTCCATACAAAGCTTCCTAATTCCATCAACAGCACAATTATCAGACCAAATAATTGGTCTGTAATTATTTTCATTTTATGCTTATTAATAATCCATATTGGATTCTGGACAATTTCACAACATAAATCTATCAGCCAAATGAAGGTTCAACATTCTGGTCTGTACATTCTTCATGAGCTTAGGGGCAGGATCACATGCTGATACCATGAAAAAGCCAAACAGATGTTGTCAGGGGCACCAGTTCCAACTACTAGATGCATGAAGTATTCTCTTACTCTGCATTAAACAACTTGCCCCTAAAAGAGAAGATGGAGTACTACAGAAACAAGGCTCCCATCATGTAAAGAGAATAGAAAATTACAGGGTACAGGTAATTACAGGAGACTGAAGAGTCCTGGCAGTAGTTCAGTCAGAGAATGACAAAGGTTAATATTTCTTCCATCCAGAGCAAGAAGACTGAGTGCTCCGAAATTTAAGGGGGGGAAAAAAGAGGCTTTATTAGGATAGTGAGGTTGGGGTTAGTTGTCTTAATTTTTTCACTGTTTATTTAGTAATTTATAGAGGGTAAAAATGGTAGAGTGGTAGTCTAGAAACTCTAATTGTTTAACCCCTAAAGGTTTCGGTTTCTCAACTGTAAGAAGATGGGGTTGGACTAAATAAATCTCTGACAATCTTCCTGCAATAAAATTTTATGAGTCTAATCAACTGTGTTGTATATTAAAAAAACACACAGAAACATTCAAGTACTTAACTATATGAAAAGGCATACTGTAGCAACACATAAAATACAAAAAGATATGGTTCTTGTGTTCAAGGAACTTACAATCCTAACAGAAGACTGACACATAAATAACTATACAAAATATAAGGCAGAACTGAGTAAATACTACACAGGGATATAAACTCTTAAGTAGGAACACAAAGGAAGAACTGATCCATTACAGGGGAAATAAGTGATTTCATAAAAATGTTGGTATTTGAACAATTCTAAGGCCCAAATTCTCTGTTCTATCTGTACTACAGTTCTTGTTTGATCATTTGTTTCTCTATTCTCACAGCCCTTTGCTAAATTAATCTCCTATTACCTTTCAATAATACTATTGTAGAGCCTGCTAACTGGTCTCCTCATCTACATTTTTAGCGTTTAAATAACTACTGTCCTACTAGTGCAACAATACTAATTTAGGCCCTCAGACTCTCCCCACTGTGCTACTGCAATTTCCCTGCTTCTAGTCTTACTCCTCCCTCCGATCCACTCTCTATATGGGCATGGAAATCAAGTTAATCTTCTGCTAAAATCCTTCAAGGCCCCTTCTTTGCCTGTTTCAGGAAAAAACAAAACTTAGCATGAGACATAAAGGCTTTCATGATATGATGTTGCCTACTGTACTGGGTTAAGTAGTATCCTCGAAAATTTTATGTCCACCCAGAACCTTACTTGGAAACAGAGTCTCTGCAGATATAATTAAGTTAAAATAAGGTAATACTGGATTAGGGTGGACCCCAAATCTAATGACTGGTGTCCTTATAAAAGGAGAGAACACACAGAGACAAAGACACACAGGAGGCAAGCTCCCCCTCCCTGGAGGACATCCTTGCCTTTCTCCTCTCCTTCTTCCCCCCACAGGCTTGCATCTCCTAAACTCTAAGGGACCCCCACCAGGGCAGCAATGGGCAGTGGCAATTCCTCCTGGCTAACTCCGAGCCTGTCCCCAAAGCCCCCCCTTTTCTCTGACTTCTTAGTGAGCCAAAGCAGACCAGCCTTGGCTCATTTCCCCAGCCCTTTCTTGTTTCACTGTTCTCAGCTTTAATAGACGTCCTCTAAAAATAAAAGTAAAAAGACACACAGCAAAGAAGGCCATGTGAAGACAGACACAGAGATTAAGCAACATAGCTGCAAACCAAGGGCTGCCTTGTGGGCACCAGAAGCTGAAAGAGGCAAGAGAGCTTCTCCAGTAGAGCCTTCAGAGGGAGTGCAGCCCTGCTAACACCTTGATTTCAGTGTTGAAAACTGAGAGAATACATTTCTGTTGTCTTAAGCCAACAAGTTGTGCTACTTTGTCATGGCTGCCTAATATACCTGCTAGTCCAAGTAACCTAATATACCTGCTAGTCCATTTTAACTTCTAACGATCCTTAATTCTCCAAACCTACCAATGCTCTCAAACTGCTGAGCCTTTGTACATGTTGTACCTTCTACCTAGAATTCCCTTCCCAGATTTGTCGCTTGGGAATTCCTATCTATCCCTTAAGTATCCTCTCAAACACTATTTCTTTTGTGACTTGAGTGGGCTTATGAACTCTCTCCTGAAGTCCTGCTGTACCTATGATATGTGTCTATCATAGCAATTACATTAGTGAATTGTAATTATTTGTATTCAAACACATCTTCCCACTAAATTTGAAGTCCTTAAGGACAGGAGCTGCACCTTTACCTTTTAATTTCCCAGCACCTAGCAAAAAACCTGACATGTACACAGTGCAAATGAACAAATATTTCCAGTTAAGCTGTCTAAAGCACTGCTCTGATTGCACCTCTCTGTTTGAGAAACTTCTATGGGCCATAATGAGTTTGGCTCAGTGGTTAGAGCAACCACCTGTGGACTGAAGGGTTCTGAGTTCAATTCCGACCAAGGGCATGTACCTTGGTTGCAGGTTCGATCCCTGGCCCGTCGGTTTGTGAGTGGGAGGCAACCAATCGATGTGTCTCTCTTACATCAATGTTTCTCTCTCTCTCCCTTCCACTCTCTCTGAAAAGCAATGAAAACAATTCCTCGGGTGAAGATGAAAAAAAAAAAAAAAAGAATCTTCTATGGCTCACATTAATTTACAAAATAAAAGTATGAAAACTTCCTAGCTAAACATTTAAGCCCAGGTTCTACCTACCCAACCCTACTCTATTTCCCATGGTAATCTTTTTTATGAGTACTATCTAGGTTGCTTAAGTTTAGTATTCCATGTATATATCTCCCAAGCTTTTGTGTACCCATGCCTTATTCCCATAGCTCATTCTGCCTGGAATTTTTTTCCCCATCATCCCCAAACATCTATTTTCTTGGATATTTACTTTTAATGAATGGCAGCTTCCCTATAGAAACCTATTTTTTTCCCTCAACTGGAATTCCATCCTCTGAATTTCCACTCTACTTTATTTATATCTCCATTAGTCTTAAAGCTGTTTATGTAATCTTTTTCTCTATTCCTTTATGAGTTCTTTGAAAATAGAAGTAATGTCTGGTTGATCACTTTCTACTGTGCTTATACACAGCAGATGCTCAATGCAATTGACAGAAATGACAACAATGAATATGTGAATTCATGTATTAATTTAAAACATCACTCTATGAGACTACCCATATTCTATAAAATATATAGAAAAAAACATTAAGAAAAGGACCATGGAATTATTATCCAAATCTTCATAGTAATTAACAAAACCCTCTCTTTGAAAATACTCAGAAGATAATACAGGTCAACTTGTCAGAAGTGCTGCAAAAAGACTGGAATAAACTGAACCGGAGAATAAAGTTGGCGGGTGTGCTAAGAAAGCAGATTGGTATTTAAAGCTTACTAAAGAGGCACACTCGAAAGGAGAAATGTCTGGGCCCAAACTTCTCTCATTATCAGTTAGAACAAAGGTCCACTAACCTGGGGAGGGGACTGGCAGAGGTTGGGATTCACCAGAATTCCCAAAGGCTCTTCAGAAGATCTATCCAATTTGGTCAGTGGTTGGTTCAAGGTTCCACTGGCAATGGCCTGTATTGTTTCATCTAGTCTGTGATAACAAATCAAAGGATGCAATAAATGGTAATGTTCTATGCTCAGAACATCCTTACCACCAATAAAAAACCCTTCTACAGTAATAAAATTTCAAATTCAAAGAGGGGTTCATGGATGGCCTCTTCCCCTGCTCCACCCCTACCCAAACTTCCTTCTCTTCACTCCAAGAACCCTAAGGAACATGAGTCAGTAAAAGTTGCAGAATGCTAAGAAAATAGGCAGGGCTCACTACAATCATTCATCTGCTTAACTAGATTGTTAAAATGCCAGGATTAGAAAAGTTGCCTAGAACAGTAGTCTGACCCACAGAAGAGTATTCTACGGCAGCCTATTAATTCAATACATCCAATTACTCCTCTGCCCACTCAGGAGTCCCTGTCTACTCCTTCAGGCTGATCTGAATTCTAGCCTTGCTTCAAGGCCCAGAAGTTCTGAGGCCCTCTACTGACCCCACACAAAAGTGCTTCCTCCTTTCTCTGAAGTCCTGTAGCACCTACTATTTAGTCATTGGATATATCCTACAGTTGTGTTTGCTATGACTATTTGATTCTAAACCTATGTGATAATTTTCATTTGTGGAACTAATTCTACTGGATAGTAAGAGATCATTGGTCCTGCAGGAACCATTCTACTCTATAGCACTACATTACTTGCTGCTTTACTCCATGCCCCTGCTGGATGCTTGACAAATGTGGATGATGATGATTCTGAGGTACAATGTAATAAAAAGCTTCTACCAGTAGGAAAGGCTGAACCTGATCTTGAATTACAATTAAAGAGTTACTTGTTAGGACTCTCTTATATGGAAGGCAACTTAAAAGGTGTAGAGGATATGGTTCCTGCTGTCGAGAAGCTTTGAATCTTAGTCACAGGTTTAAGAAACCTATAAAAACGATGAACAAAACATGAGAGGATGTCATTAATACTATAAGGCACAATCCATCTGGTGGTTATTATCCTATTATCCCATGTGCTGTGCTAAGCAGGTTCAAGAGAGAGGTAGATATTTGAAAGGCAAAGGTTAGGGGAGGGATTTCCAAACCAAGGGAAAAGCAAAAACAAAAGCATGAAGCTTAAAAAAAAAAAAAAAAAAGAGTACAAGAATTTGAAGGAAAAGGTGAATCTAAAATAAGGTGGGGGCCATGGGATCTGAAGGAGGGAAATAGATTTAAGACACATTATAGTGGTAAGTCTATAGAACTCCATAATGTATAAATAATACAAATAGCTTATCAATACATTTTTAGAATGTCAGACTTACTAGCATACAACCAAAGCATAAAAATATAAATAAAAATTATGATGAAATGACATTTCTCATGTGTCAGAATGGCAATTTTTTTAAATCCTCACCCAAGGATATGTTTTTACTGATTTCAGAGAGAGGGGAAGGGGGGATAGAGTTAGAGAAACATCAGTGTGAGAGAGAAAGGGGATCAGTTGCCTCCTGTACGCACCATGACCCGGGACTGATCGCAAAACCTAGGTATGTGCCCTGACTGGGAATAGAACCCGCAAACTTTTAGTGTACAGGACTTTGCTCCAATCAACCAAGCTACCCAGGCAGGGCAGAATGGCACATATTTTTTAAATTGCTAAGAAAAGAATGAAGAAACTAGCATTTGATATCTGGTGTGTAGCTGTTAAGTCAAAAAGTATGCACAATTTAAATTTTGAGATACTGTCCATTTTCTAAAAGGCTGTACCCTTTTTTTATTAGATATAAAATGATTTTTATTATAAAAGCAATCCATTTTTATTATGGAAAAACTGGAAAATACAAATTAATAGAAAGAAAATAAAAAATTCCTAAACCCATCACCCAGGAATAATTTTATTTTTCTTTATATTTGTGTATCATATACATAATAGATGAGAACAAATAATTATTCTGAAGCTAGTGGTAGAATTTCCTAGAGAGAGAGAATAACCTTTGTTTAGGAAAATTCTATGATGGGTTTGCTAGGTATGAAAGAGAAAAGACAAGGACCGGGCCTTGTGAAAAACACTACTGTGTTCACTAATATCCAACTGCATACGTGTATATATGTATATGTGTGTGTGTGTGTGT